TTTTCTGACTCGGAGTCGGGTCGAGTCAGCAAATCGAAAACGCTATATGATAGTAATTTATTGGATTGCAGGCAATCCAGCAGGAAAAATAGCCTCGTCCGCAGCGGGCTTTATCTCTGAAACGCGATTGGTCGGCGCCGCGGGCGAGGGGCCAATCGCTGGCCTCGACTGGCGCGGCGAGCGGTTGCGGTGCCGAATGCGCCAGATGTCGAGCCCGTCGCCGATCCGAGATCGCGGGGCGCGCTGCGCAATGTTTTCCCTCCGCAGTGGTCGCACGTACGATTGTTTATCCGCCATTTTGTTCTGCCGTCGTACGCGCAGTTTTCGGCACGGTGGTCCACTTTTAAGATGCGCACGGGCCGCTGAGGCGATTCGGATCGCGCACCGCTGCCCTCTCGCCGATCTGCCGTAACGCTCGCGCGGGAGTATCGTCGCCCGGAGGACGCGAGAGGACCGTTCTCTCGCGACGCAGCCGTGATGGCAACCCGTGACAAGTTACGTCCGACCCAACTTTCCTGACTTTTGAGGCCAGATGACGATTACTAAATAAAACGGACGATTCTCGCCTCCGTTCGTCACGTAAGTCCGCCCGGGGCCTTCGGCGGCGCGTTACGCGCCGAGCGACGCCGAATAATTGACAGACCCCCGCCCGGCCGCTCACGCAGAACGGAGTTCTCCCTCGGATCGACCCGCGTTATTGTAGCTGTATTGATGTTTTGTTTTCCAATTTCCTGAACCGTTATCCGATCGTCGTCCCCGTCGAGGGGGAAATGGTGTCACAGCTGAATTCGTTTATCCTATTAATCTGACGTATCCCTCGCGCTCGCGCCGATCAATCGCGCCGTTTACGTCCAGCAGCTGTGCTTTACCGCCTTTCGGTTTGGTTACGTTTGCTCGTATGAGAGTTACGTATCAGCCGTGCGCACTTGGTGCAATAGGATTACGCCGCTGATTCGCGCCCGTTAGCTTGACAACAAACGCGTCAATCGCGTGCTCGTCTGCGATAGAATGAATTTGTATATTCGTGTCACTGCCGCCTAGAGTCACCCGGATTGCCTTCGTATGAGATACTTTTGTAACGCGATTTCACTCCAATATTAGATAAAAAAAATCAGATGTTCTCGATTAGAGGTCACTCTTGAATAAAAGAAATCGCATTAGATGTTCTCCGGTATTCGATTAAAAGTTGCTTTAATGTTTGATGAAAGTTCTCGTGTAATGTGGCAGTTCAGTAAATTCACCGTCCAATAGTTAAAGAAGCTTTATCGGACGCCGCGTTCACGCGTAAAGGAAAGCAAGGTGAGCCCCTGTTGGGGGTTTTCGTTTTTTGGTTCTTCCATTCGTTCCCATTAAGACACTTGCTGTCTCGTACGACCGTGGTCTCGTACTGCGCAACATTCATGAAGATTTATGTGCCATGTTGAGCGAAAGTTGCCTGCAGATTGTTGAAAGAGCACTTACGTTTCGTATGCTGACGATGAGTCGGACTTGTTAATAGTTTGGTTACACCGAGGGGTAAACCGCTGAGGGTGTATTGCGGTGTACAGATTTCGGGTACTGCTAGGCATTTTTCGGGCACTAGCAGGTGTTACTTGGCCTCGCCGGAGCATCGTAAAGGATCTAAAAAGTTCAAGTGAGATAGAGTAATGTCCACTGGGCCTTAGAGGCGGTCGTGTACATTCTTTCAATTTGTAATAAATATGAAAGTGTAGACACTGGCTAATGTATCACTGTATTGATGACGCGTGTTACAATTGATGGCTCAATATTTTGTTGAATTTTACTTACGTCGGGACATGTGATAATGTATTTCTGTACATTGCAGAATGTCAGGGCAGAGTGGTGGACATCGAGTGTGCCTGGCCAAACTTAACGAACAGCTGACGTGCAAATTATGCGGCGGCTATTTCATCGACGCGACCACCATCATAGAATGCTTACACTCGTGTACAGTATCTTCCTACTATATAATGCTGCGTGTATTCGAGCTACGGCTAATGTCCTCGATGTACGGTGTATTATTGTAAGATATTCAACGTTTCTTTGCAGTTTGCCGAAGTTGCATTGTTAAATATCTGGCGAATAACAAGTATTGTCCGATCTGCGAGGTACAGGTTCACAAAAGTAGGCCGCTGTTAAATATACGCCCCGACCGTATGTTACAGGACATTGTTTACAAACTGGTACCTGGATGTTATCAAAGTACGGCTTTTCCTTCATTGAGAAGAACCGATTTCCCCGTATGTCACGACGTGAGCGATAACGACGGTAAAAATATTGTTTCAGACGAGATGCGATGTCGGAAGGAATTTTATGCGAAGCATCCGGAGGCGTGCAATCAAGCGTTCTCTCCGGAGGCTCGCGGGGAGCCCGTGAACTCTTACATATACTCCCCGGATGAATCTCTCAGCTTGTCCCTGGAATACTTTAACCCTCGCACGAAAGAGGAGACGAACGCCGGGAAATCCCTTTTGAGGCGATACTTTCGGTGTCCCGCGGCAGTTACAGTATTCCATTTACAAAAATTAATAAGGGCCAAGTACGGCCTTGGTGATGCAAACAAAGTCGATATATTGTACGAGGAGAAACCGTTGTGCAGTAGTTACTCGTTAATGGACGTGATGTATATCTATCATTGGAGGCAGGTATGTATTTGATCCGTTTAACATTACATACTCAATTTTAAGAGGCATTTAATAAGATTCTTATCGACGGTGTACTACAGTATCTGTTTTATTGCAGAAAGTGCCGTTACATTTAAGCTATAGGATATTTGAAACGTCGTCGAAACGCTTGAAATTATCGGAGGACAATGCAAACTACAAGCAGTCACTGATGGACGCTGGTATTGATTCCATAGAGCTGAAGGATGAGAAATCGTTGAAGCGCGAGTGGAAAGAGGTGCAATTAAAAATATCGGAGACGGGTGTGATGAGCATAACGGATATATCGAGTACGGTGCACAAAAGGGACGCGGGAGTCGAGGGTTTGGAGGATGAGAAAACCGCCGGGGAGGAGACTATAACTTCCATTGCGGAAATTAAGGCGGACGCGGTGAAAATAGAAAATTGCGGTGTATCGAAATCCTCCGTAGAAATAATGCCGTCTACCCTGATTATCGACACGCCTTTGACAAAAAACCCAATATTTTCTGACTCGAGCAACGCGTTCCTCGTTGCGAACGACATCAAGTTTACGAGCGACGGTTTATCGGCTAATTCCAATTGCATGTCGCCGACTAATCAGTACAACGGGACCGCGACGAGGCAGACGAGCGAGACGAGAAATTGCGCCGCTTCCGCGAAGTTGCAACAGGACGCGCAAGAAGTGAAGGTCCACAATCAAACTGTTAACGCCGAGGCTAAGTCTGAGGCGGTTTCGCAAGGGCAAAAGGGCATCGGTCACTCGGCGACACAATTTACCGAAGAGAGCGTAGTCGTTACCGAAGATACGGAAAAGATGGATGCACACGCGAAAAAGGTGTCGATAAATAACAACAACAATAATGCAGATTTCCAGGCTGAGGCTCAGAAGGAATGCATAAAAAGCTCGAACGAGGCGAAAGTGGGGGGCGCCGGGTCGAAAATTGACGCGTTGAGCGTGAAATTGCAATTTCAACCGAAAATGGGTCAAGTTAATAACACGTACTCCAAGAGAGCGTCGAAGGAAAAGCGAGCGACTCTTCAGCAGAGCGCGAAGAAATCCGACGTAAAGTCCTCGGCCGAAGATGCAAAGCTCGCGGACGCGAAAGCGCAAACCAACTGTGGAAATGTAACGGGCAAGGTGCCAGTCTCGACGGCGACTCCGCAAAAGTCGGCTGCGCCCGCGCTGGCGTCTCAGAGTGTCTCGGACTCTTCGTCCGGCTCTGACAAGCAAAGAGCTGCCGACGAGAGGGATAATCAAAGTATAAACATCGATCTGCAGCAGGCTTTGAATTTGCTGGAACAGAGGAACTCGCCCGTGCAAGCGTCAGCGGAATCTGTCCCGAGGACGAGTCACGTCGCCGGTCTGGTCAATCAGAGATTGCAGGGCAACAATGTAGCCGCGACGAGCGAGGATCTCGCGTCCACCGCGGCGAACGTTTCCACGTCCACGATCAGTCAGACAACGTCGACGTTTCCCTACATGTTCCACGACATCGTGACCAACTCGGCCGTCCTGAAGTCGGCGCTAAAAAACTCGAGCGGCGTACCTCAGAAACCGATACTGGGAACGTCGCCTGTCGCTTGTTCAACGTCCAACAATCAAATGGCCCCGATGCCTCAGTTCCACATGCAAACGTCAGCCATAAACGTGTACCCCGTACCTACGTCGCTGAAGAACAGCTACGGCCACGTGGGCAGTCAGGACGTCACCACCGTGACGGCCGCGTCGATGGCGATGATGACGACAACGGCGATGTCGAAAGTGACGTCGGCCGGCGCGTGCCCGATACCTCCGTGTCCGGACGCGATCCCCATATCGCTGATGAAGCAGATGTCCATGCGCAAGCAGGACGCGACCGCGAAGGGTACGAATCTGAACGAGATCTGCGCCAAGATCGGTTCTGGCACGACCGGCTCGAAGATCAACGACATCTGCGCGAAGATAGGGGAGAACTCGAAGGAGAAAAGCAGACTGGACACGCACGGTAAACCGGATGTGCCGGATCTCCTTAGAATAAGCGCGAGGAAGAACCCATCGCCGTTGCTGCCCAACTCGGATACGTCGATCAAGCGCATACCGAACATCCCGAACGTACCAGTGTACACGCCGAGCGGCAACGCGGCGGCGGCGGCGGCGGCGACGATGGAGAACAAGAGCGCTAAGTCTGTCTTACCCGCGTCGACGTCCGCCGGCGCCGCGGTTTCGACGTCGTCGCCGTCAGCACCGGCGTCGTCGGTCCACGTGGCCCAGAGATTGCCGCCCCTGAGGAGGCAGGGCCAGCCGATCGGCTACAAGACGCTGCGCGACCCGCCCAAGTCCTGGAATCCCACGTTGTCGAGGAACAACTACGTGGCGGCGAAGAACCAGGCGAAGGAGATGCAGAATCAGATGCAGACCATGTCCGAGGGCGCGAAGCAGATCCCGTCTAAGCCGGCCAAGATCTTCAAGATGCGAAACATGCCGCGGTACCTGGGCAATCCCGCGTCCGGCGTCAAGCCCATGTACGGGGTGGCGAACGAGAAGGAGAAGGAGCAGCCGGCGGTGAACGCAAAGGGCGCTACGCTCAGCATGATGAAGATCGACCCCAAGACCCTGTCGCCTATCGTCTCGACGATCAGCTCGCCGATCGTCTCGCCGCCGCTCTACTCGCCGAACGTGCGCGGCTACCAGAACGCCCCGTTCTCGCGCGACATATGCCGCAACACCGGCTCGCCCATCTCGCCACGGAACTCGCCGGTGAATATGCTCTCGACCAATCCGTTCATACCGTCGCCCACACCGAACACGAATCCGCGGATCATATACTCCCACTTCCCGCCCCCGTTTCCAGACGTCAGATTCTCGAATCCCCTGATACGGTCGCCCATCGGCATGCCGCCTCCCAGTGCCTTCCACAACAGTCTACCTGCGATCACGAAGCTGTATCAGCGCCCGAGTTACATACCGCAGACTACCGGATACGTGCCGGTGGTCTGTCAGCCGCCGACGGTGCAGAGAATACCGCCCAGCACGCACTCGTCCTCGCCCAAATCGCCCAAGGCCTCGTCGCCGATCTCGTCCGCGTCCTTCAATCTCGCCAAGGCGGAGTCGCAGCCGCCGATTACGTCGACGGTGGACAGCGTCGCGCTACTTCTCTCCAAGAGCGTGGCGGTGCCGGTGTCGGTGTCGGTGCCGATGCCGGTACCGGTGCCCGTGCCGGTACCCGTGCCCGTGTCTGTGTCGCTGCAACGGGAGCTCAACGCGTTCAACTTGTCCAAGACCGGCGGCGTGTCGCCAAGCGCGAGCGCGAACGTCAAAACGTCACCCACGAAAGACACCGACGTCGAGACGCAGCTCGTCAAGCCAAACTCCTCCTCGACGCCGCTGAATCCGCCGGCGACCGCGACGAGCGTGGAGACAGCCGAGAATTCGAGCGCGTCGAGCGGCGCCGGTGAACGAAAGCAGGGCAAAGAGACGGAGGGCGTGCGAAAGGCACAGGAGGCCGCGCGGTCTAAGGAAGACGGTACCAAGGCGAAGCTGGCGGAGACCAAGTGTGGCGCCGAGGTCGCCGACAACACCTCGGGCCTGCACGACAAAAGGGAGAAGAGCCAAGCGGCCAAGATCAACGGCGATGTCACGACGGAGCAATTGGCGAGTAAGAAAGCCAAGGACAGCGACGAGACGGCGACGACGGCAGAGACGGCCGAACGAGACGGTCAGGCGGAGCGGTCCTCGTCCAAAGAACGGAACAGCATCCCGAGGAGCAACGCTCAAGCCAGTGTCAACGACTCGCCGGTGGACGACTCCAAAAGCGCGGATCTCGGCAAGAGCGGTGAGCAGCTACAGGGTAATAAATCTGAAGTACAAAAAAGTAAGGTGGAGACGTGATCGTGAGACAAGAGGATCGATCGTCCCTAGATGCGAGTCGTGAAAGGTTCTTACTACTGTGTATTTGCATTTAATTCGGCACAGTGCGGCTTGAGTGTAGGACGAATCCCGTACGAGCTCTTGTACACGGCCCATGTTCTGATGTTTACTGCAAGTAATTGTAACGGACCGTCTACATTGGAAGTAAGCAGTAAGAAGTAAGAGTACCCATAATCTTTACCCTTCGGTGTAAAAGCTAAAATACAAGCATAATTTTGTTTAAATATTTGTAGCACTGGCCGGACCAACTGGCCGGCTCTTGGAGCGCTGAGAGTAAGAAGAGCGTCAGAGCTGAAGTATAGGAGTAAAATAATACAAATGATTCATTTCCTTACCTCCTACTCTTACTTCTTACTACCTGTATTAAGCTAGCAAGTTTTAAGACTCCATCGCCTCGACGTGAAAACAGTTTATCCCTCTTCAAATTAATAAATAGCTAGGTGGATATTATGGTATTCCTTGTCTTTATGTCAACAACTAATAGCTCAATTGACTTTTGTATCTATTTGTATGCTGATCAAGGCACTGTGTTATTGAAACGCGTACATGGAAATTTTATTTTTTAAATATTAAAATTATGACTTGTTAACGAACACCTTTTTGCTCGTAATAGGTGGTAAACTTAATTCCTGCCGTTGTTTTCGTCTCCAAAATTAATTTGTTTCGAAGGGAAGCTGAATGAACCTCGTGAATGAAAGTAATTTCCTCCACTTTCTACTACTTTTTCCCATCTCTCCGGCAACAGGGCAATCCCACGACGGTAGAACGCGATGTCTTTCGAGGCGATCCATTCATCCACCCATTTATGGACTTCTTCGTAACTGGGGAAGTGTGTGTCCGTAAGTGCGTGTTGCATATCGACCGGAAGAGTTGGTAATACGACGGTATATTGGCCGTTGACCCCATACATTTTATAAATTGATTCAGTTGGGGGTTGTTTGAAGCAGAAGAGATGAATATATTAACCTTGAGGTTTTTTTTTGGTGGCACAAATTAGTACAGATTTAGTCTGTTGCATGTCTACCTGGGGATTTTTTATTTCTTTTTTTTTGGTGGTCTTACTAGCTTAACGTTAAGGTAGTAGCTCCACGGTTTTTTTTTAATGGCACGGGATACAAAATTATTATTAGTGGTACAAATTAGTGCAAAATGGGTACTAAATTATCTGATGGGTTCGGTTTGGTTTTGCTGGTCCTGCTAGCTTAATTAAGGGTAGACTTACTTCATGCAGATGATCCTTAACATTTCCAACTGCACGGTTCAGCGCGCGTGTATGTATACATACTGTACAAATACGTATACACACACACATACGCACTTGGATATTTATTTAAAAAGTGTGCACGCAATAACCGCGCGCATTACGAAAAATGTCAGAAGATACGCTGGTTATGAGGCTGGATGATAAGTTTTTACAACGTGTGCGTCATGTAAGGAGCGAAAGGGCACTTATGACCATTGTTGAAGATGTTTCACGGCGTGTTAGGAATCTGTATATATCTGTAAATAACGATCGCGAAAGATCTAATTATTTTCTATTATGGATGAGTTATTACGACAACTATGTTGAATATATTATTTTATAGGTGTACGTTGATATTATAATTACGAGGTCGTCTGAATTTCCGCATATCTAACACCGACGTTAATGTCAACGACGCTGACGATGTTAATCCTCCATTGTTATTGTACTTGCATATATGTATGGATGTGTATACACGGTGTATCCCACTTTTATATTGCATACGTCTCTTCTTTTATTATTATTTTTTTCTTTCAAATCAATTCCGAACTAATTTTTCTTTAATTATACGTGATTCTGCTATTTAACAGAACAAGGAATATTATTCGGCTGGAGCTTTGTTATTAAACTCTTTGCCACGCGATCTTTAACAGTTCTATTGTATAACATTGCACAATAGATTTGTTAAAAGATCTTTTATCAAAATATATGGAATTATTTTGTTACACGTGTGTGAAGAAGAGAAGAGCGAAATATGTTTTCAAGTGGGACACGGTCTCTACGTCATTTTTTTTTCTTCGTTACACATATTACATATTGCAATATAGCGAAGCGTATATATATTTTTCACAGATACGAATACAAGTTGTGCACTGAGCACTTGGCAAACAGGTTTATCATTAAAGTTATATATTTAAATCAACTATATGATTTGTATCTCTTAGCGCATATGCTTGCTGTTAATTTGTTAATAGCATTATATATTAATAACATATGGTATGCGTTCTTGTGCATATTAAACGGATGCAAGTTATTCCTTAGCGTTAAGTAACAAAAAGTGTTGCAATCACTTTTTCGATAAATAATGTAATTATGGAAGAAAATGCATGTTTATGGAACGTAAACAGGTATAATTATTCATAGTAGAAAGAGAGTACTCATACACACGAGCACATAGATACGTGTATAAAAAAGTATTAAGTATAGTTGATCTAATTAAATTAATAATAATGTTACCTAAATTTAAATTATACATTTTTATATCATATAAGATTGACGAGAAAAATTTATATAGTCTGCAGCGTTGAATATTTTTGAAAGACCCTTTATTTATATTACAAGGAATTATATGGAATTATACGTGTATATGATGCAATAATATTTCTGAGAGACTATTTCATTTCGAATTTTAATATCTTTACGCACTTACATACATTTCCGATTGATATTTTTGAGATAATATACCTTTGTACAACGTTCAATGTTTAATGCGATATCGGTTGTAAAGTATGTAAAAATAAATTTTAGTTATCATCTTGTACAATCGAGAGCCAAAGTGCTGTCTCAATGTAGAGATTAAATTTCACTTGCGTCGAGCTTCTCTTTTTCTCCAGTAATCGATAATCACCGGGGAAAAAGGTGCAGCGAGAAAGAAAAAAAAGTTTAACAGTACTTTTGTTACAAGCTAAATCGATAGCATTTTTGTTGCTAACTGTATTCATTAGAGGGGTCTGTAGAAGTTAGTAATTTTGGAAAAACAAGAATTGAAGTGGAATTCACGCTTGAAAATGACTACTGTTGAAATTACACAACTATATAAAATGTCCTCAGTTGGACTATTCATGTAATTACTAGAATACGATTAAATTCGAAGTTTCTCTCTTTGAGACCAATCCAGTATCAAAACGGAAATAATATAATTTTGGAGGGTAATTTTGAAAATATTCGAAGACTGCACATGGTAGTGAAATGTCCGAGGCCTTATCCTGTCATATAATATCGAATAATTAATATGGAACAATAAAAATGATAAAATGTATGCGATATGATTACGACAAACAATTAGTTGACAATTAAACACTGTGATCATTACGTTACTTCATCCTAGATGGAAGAGATATTTTAACAAAGCAAAATTATTAGTCGTAAATGCATATTTTTCTGTCTTTCTGTCCTCCCCCCACCTTATCCCTTCTCCCCCTTCCCGTCTGTCCTTTCTACGTTTTATTTTTACACTTTCCTCCAAGCTTTCTCTGTTGTTTTCTCTCTCAATTCTATTTATCTAATCTAATCCATGTATGTTCTTCAGTTTTAATATATTTATGTATTTTGTTGTCCGTGTACATGATTGTGCGCATCGATGAAAACGCAAACGAGCACGAACCGAGAAAAGCATGAAAAGTTTTGCTAAGTAATTTTATCGCTTGGAGATCAATTTCTCTCAGATATGCTAATTTTATTTGTAAATAGCGTACGACGATTATAAGATACATATTACATAGTAATAGAGAAAGAATTATTAATATAATTCTATATTTAATTAAAAAAAAAAGGATATAACCACACGCATGTATCTGTCCGTCGGGACACGAGAGCAAATTTTTAGATAAACACTGGGCTGCAGAATAGAAAATATATTGTATTTTTAATCAGTTTTTATATATGTGTGTGTGCGTACGCATATACACGTATGAATATATAAAAGTAAGAATAATTCTACATGGAATTAGAAGATTATTCTCTTCACTAATGCAAAAATATAATTGACTGCACCTACACGAAGCTGTATTATTAATATAGAACATTATCCTTCATACATATATATATATATACAATCCATTATCAAAGTAAAGCTGACGAATATATCTCTAAATGGCACATTATAAAATCATTCATTATACACATATTTATATATTAGATATTTTTTCGATGTGTCTCACGGCATCCTTCAACTTGTACACCAGCTCCTGCAACTGTTGTATGGTACATGTAAATATTACATATCTCAACTGATTACCCTCCTTTGTACTGATTCGTATGTTATAAACCGGTACGTTGGTAATACGAGTGCTAATCTGCAGAGTAAACAATACAATACTTAATCGTACATCCAAATTATGTAGTGTAATTCGCGAAGAATCTTATATCGTTGTAATCACATTGTAGGGTTCACTGATGCCTTCTCGTACGAATTTGGGCACAGGTAGACATACATTTTCCATGTGTGTATACAAAATGTATGAATGCGTCGAAATGTGCGCAAATTCATGTGGGAAGGAAATTCCTAGTGTACAAAACAATAGAATCAACGTAACATTACTGAAGGATAATGGATTCACCTTGACGCAATGATGCAAGCGCCAGTCTACGTCCACTACATGCGGTAAGTTGTTCCCCGTCAATTCCAACTGAGTCTGGATACTTTCTTTATTGCTCATATACCTGCTGCATAGCGTTTCAATTCTTTGTCCGTTGATATGTTCATTGTGTAAGAAATGCTTCAGGCTCTCCTCGTCGTAGTCGTGTCGAGCAGCTTCTATGAAGAGGCAGGATATATTGGCGAAAGCAGCTTTTATCAGATCTGACTTGGATGGATATACAGCAGTGATGGCTGCTACAAAAAAATATAAATCATTGTAAACATTTGTATCTTGGATACTTTTTACCTCGCGACAAATTAGGCGAGTCCTATTTACTTTTTCCATTGCTGACATTCTTAGAGACATATAATATTATAACATCTAGTAACTGTAGAAACGTTTCTTCGGGTAAAACGTTACTATTTTGGATATTTGCCAGGCCGTCGATAATTTCCTTTGCCAATTCCATGTTGACATAATATAGTATCAACTATTCTCGATACACGTAAGTACATACAATTTTTTTTAAAAGTGTCAGTCACATCAACAAATATAAGCTAGCTTGCGCACACGTGCTTCACAACCATTTGAATAAATTTGATCGAGCTTTTGTAAACTACGAGGATTGATTAGTGATATTTAATTATGGTCGATAGATCTGCCTAAAATACAGATAAAATAACAAATCAGATTAATCAGGATTAAGCAATTATTTATAATATGAAGTTTATAGATATTTCGTATAACCATGCTTCACCTTTGCAAAGAGAATTTACAAATCTGTTCTCATTTCACTATACGACAGCTATTTCCTTGTATCAAAATGTCAAAACGTTTTTCTTTTTGGAAAGATTCAAGTTGGAGTCTGTCCGAGTCGTCCGAGTATCTTCAACAGCAGTACTTATTTTTGCTTTTTCACACCAGATTGCACGAAAATCGAACTGGAACCAGAGAGAAACCTGAGAGCGGCCACGCCGGCGTTTTACTTGATGCCGTTTTCGCGCTCGGCTGATTCCAGCGCCTTACGCCCATTTTCATTTTTTGAACTATTTTGCTACACCCATTTTCAAGCACTGTCGATAAAGTCTCCACTTGGTGAGTGTCCGTGCTACGCTCCTTTTTCAAGCGGGTAATGCAGGGCCCAATTTTGGTTGTGTTCCATGCTGCATGCATGAAACCATTCTTCTTCTTCTTTCCGGTTGTTTGGCACTTGGTCGCTAATGCCCATTCTACACCTAGGGATGATCCTACT